CCCAGCCCCTGTAACCATGACAACTAGAAAGGAAAGTTGGATTGCTTTCATGCGGTACCATTTGGAATTGTATAATACTTTACAGAAACTTTTCTAGATGTTTGTATTTTGCCTTGTTTTCAAATACACTTAACTAGGTTCCTTTTTTTATAAATCTGCAAAATAACTTCAAACCCAAACAGAGATAATAGAATGTGCTTCTTAGGTGGATGGGTTTCTTGAATTTTTTTTTTTTAAATATAAAAAGAACAAGCACCGAAATATGGGAATATCCTCTTGAGGACAAAAGAAATGTATGCTTGGTGGAAGCAGAAAAGAAAGACTAAGGCTGATCAGGAGTCATCTGATAAGGTTTTAATGGAAATTGATGATTCAATTAAACTTAGATTTTTGCATAACCCTTGGTTGCTGAATGGCTTGGTCTTACCAATATTATTTTTGTAAGTGATCTTGTGTTTGTTCCAAAGTGGAATGAAAGGAGGTTGTAACACTTCAATGTTTCTGTAAATAATCATTCTTGTTTCTATTGCTAAACATACTTTATGTGTAAACACATGGAAAAAATTTAGAAAGAGACTGTTGCAGAGAAACTCTTACCTTCAGCACTTAGTGGAGGTAACCCTCCATAAGGTTACTCTTTGCTTTTGGGGTTTTTAATAAAGTAATGGTGATAACCAGATGAAGTAGGACCAATAGCTCTACATTTTTTGAAGTAAAGATTAATTCTTTAAAATAGAAAAATGATACTTTGGAGAATATTTTTGACATGTCAAATAATACTTATTATATCAAATAATACTTGAATATGTGTTTCGTCAAGTCTTTCCTCAGCATAACTATATTCTCAAAATATTAAGATGTGCAACATTGTTTTGGCCACCTGTCTTCTAAACTTAATCTTGGAAGATGATTTAGGAAGGAAAAATAACCTAAACCAAAACTATAGTGGAATTTTTGTATTGGCAAAATTATTTATCTGCTGTACTGTTTTTTACTTCCATATCTTCTAATGCTGTCTTCTTTAGGGAGCTCCAAACTCCGTGTAGTAAACTGCTGTGTTGCTTTATTAAAACAAGGAATTTTTTTCAGGGTTTGAAGGAGGGTAATAGTGTTCTAAAATAAATGGGAGACACCTTGTAGCTCTTGTTTAATTGTTTTGGATATTTTAATGCATTAGAGCTGGTAGCCTCTTTAGTTCAGGAATTAATGTGGAGATGACCTTTGGCCTCTCAAAGTACAGAACCAGTTTTGTCACTTCTGACCTTCAAATTTAGTGTTGTTGTGGTAGTGTGGCATCTTAAAGTAATTAAGTTTCTTAAATACTGTTGTTTTCTGCATTTAAGGTTTACAGCCCGACCTTTGGTGGAGACCATATTTGAAAGGGGAATGGCCACTTGTTTTGCATATGGACAAACAGGCAGTGGAAAAACCCATGTAAGTATTTCTTCTACATGTCATCAATACACTTATTTTTATGTACAATACACTTCAATAACTTCTAATAGAATAGAATCATAGAATCTTTTAGATTGGAAGAGACCTTTAAGATCATCAAGTCCAACCATTAAGCCATTAGGGCTCTAAAGTCCTCTGCTAAAACAGATCAGAATCTGTCAGGGTTGGAAGGGACCACAAGGATCACCCAGTTCCAACCCCTCTGCCATGAGCAGGGACACCTCCCACTAGATCAGGCTGCCCAGAGCCTCATCCAGCCTGGCCTTAAAGACCCCCAGGGATGGGGCCTCAACCACCTCCCTGGGCAACCCATTCCAGGGTCTCACCACTCTCATGAAGAACTCCTTCCTCACATCCAGTCTGAATCTACCCACTTCCAGCTTTGCCCCATTGCCCCCAGTCCTGTCGTGACCCGATAGCCTAAAAAGTCCCTCCCCAGCTTTCTTGTAGACCCCCTTAAGATACTGGAAGGCCACAATAAGGTCACCTCGGAGCTTTCTCTTCTCCAGACTGAACAGCCCCAACTCTCTCAGTCTGTCCTCACAGCAGAGCTGCTCCAGCCCTCGGATCATTCTGGTGGCCCTTCTCTGGACACGCTCCAGCAGGTCCACATCCCTCTTGTAATGGGGGCTCCAGAACTGGATGCAGTGCTCCAGGTGGGGAGTACAGTACATAATAAGTAACAGATATGTAAGTTACAGTTCTATTATCTTTATGGTGTATTTTTGTTATTTTTTTTTTTAATTTAGACTATGGGTGGTGACTTTTCAGGAAAGAACCAAGATTGCTCTAAAGGAATATATGCTCTTGCAGGTGAGACTTTATTGTTTTGCTGTCTTTTCACAAATTAGTTGCAGTCAATACATTTCTCCTCCCTGTCATACAAACATAAGGGTCTAAATAGTTTGCATTACAGTGGAGCTTTGGTAACATAAAAAATAGTTCCTAGGTATGTAGTCTTTACACAATAAGGTAAATATATATATGTATCTTCAAAGGCATAAGAAATATAACTGTTCATTAATTGCATTTACAGTCTTGGGGTCTTCTGCATATTCCAGTGTAATGGAGCAGCTTAAACTGCGGTGTTTTTTACTTGATTGACTGACCCTATTTGTAACACTTGCAAAATATGAAAGGTGCTGTAAAATAGACTGCTATGCATTAATGAATCTTCACTAAATGAAAATACTTAACTAGATTTCTTCTTATTTTGGAAATCTATTCACAGCTCGAGATGTCTTTTTAATGCTAAAGAAGCCAAACTATAAGAAGTTAGAACTTCAAGTATATGCAACATTTTTTGAGATCTACAGTGGTAAGGTAAGTACCTGATATTTTTTCTGAGGAAGGGGGAATTTCTTTCACAAACAAGATTGTGAGCCTGTTAGCATAAAAGTTTTTTTTCCTTTTTGTACTGAAAGCTTTATTTTAAATAATACTTTACACTTCCCTTCCAGTCATGTTTGTGTGTGGAATGCTTTGCATGTTTTGATATGAGATTTGAAAAGCAAAAATGTCATTTAAAACTCTTTAACTGTTCTGTTTCCCCTGCCAAGGTTTTTGACTTGTTGAACAGGAAGACAAAATTAAGAGTATTAGAAGATGGTAAACAGCAAGTCCAGGTGGTGGGATTACAGGAACGGGAAGTCAAATGTGTTGAAGATGTTCTTAAGCTTATTGAAATAGGCAACAGCTGCAGGTATCTCCCATAGCTTCCACCAACTTTTCATTATAAATTAAAGAAGTGGAACAATATAATTTTTTGTCTCTTCATAGTGATGGCTTTTTAATATGCAGTGGTATTTTTGATAACGTTGGCTGCAAGTAAGGAATCTGCCTATCTTTTGTATACAGGTAATTTAGAGTTTCTCTCCTAGAGAGAAATATGAACTGATTCTTCTACAGGATGTGAATTGCATGCATTATATAACCAGTTTACTGACTTAAATTCACATAATTTATAATCTGGAATACTGGTATATTCTTCATTTCTAAGAGGCCTTGATATGTAGTGACAGAAGTTAAATATAATTTTTTTATTTTTTATTAAGATCCAGCTTTATTATTTTTAAAATTAGCCTTGTTCATAGATTGCAGCCTGATCCGATAAAAATGCCACATGGCATTTTATATGTAAGCTCTCTGATACTCTGAAATCTTTGGAGATCTGATTATTCTTGCTTTTAAGAGGGGAGTGAAATGGTAGTAATCTTCCATTTCTGTTTGAAGAATTGGAAAAATAGCTATAATTTTATCATGTACATAAAATTATTAGGGTAAATATAGGACTCTGTCCTGAAAAACATTATATTCTGAGCGCAGCGTGTTTAACATGTATGGTCCTTCACTTGTTCATATGTCCTTCCTTCCTTTCTTTCGTTAAAGGACATCTGGCCAAACATCTGCAAATGCACACTCATCTCGAAGCCATGCAGTGTTTCAGATTATTCTCAGAAGGAAAGGGAAATTGCATGGTAAATTTTCTCTGATTGATTTGGCTGGCAATGAAAGAGGAGCAGACACTTCCAGTGCAGATAGGCAGACACGACTGGAAGGTGCAGAAATTAACAAGAGCCTTTTAGCACTCAAGGTAACTGAAATGTTTCCGCTGCCTTTGAGTAGGTGGTAGCCTTCTACATATCATAGCAATGACCATTAAAAAAAAGAAAAATATCCCTGGTGGTTGAATTTGAACACTTTTCTGATATACGCCTAAAATAGGAAGAGAGATTACTTACTTTGATACTCAAGGTCTGAAATACTAACTGGAAATGCCCTTACTGATTTCAATAATTTTTTAAAGATAAAAATAAAGTTACTTTTATGAAATATTTATTTACCACTGTTAATTAACTAATGAAGAAAACAACACAACAGCACTATGTCCAGAAGGAATTAACAAATCAATTAAAATATAACTCTTGAAAGTTGGAAACCATTTTTGACTACTCTATAGCAAATTGTCTGATACAATCACTTTAACAGAACTTCATACTCAAACCCAGAACACATCAAGAGAACTAAGAAATATTATTTAAATGTTCAAATGCTTTTTTGTTTGGTTTATAATGCTCAAAAGAGCATTATAAAAGAACCTAAAGCCAAAAATTATTATGTCTTTTTTGTCCCAATATAAACTTGGGAAAAGACTTGTTCCAGACTCTCACAAAACACTACAAAATTCTAACCTGTCATTATAAAACTGTATGTCATGTTGAAAGATCAGAAGCAGCAGTTTCAAAACTCGCCTGTTTTGATTTAGTAGCAAAATTGTTGCGGATTGGGGTCAGGGCCACCCACAGACCTGTAACAGACACACTGGACTTAGCCGCAGAAAGCAACTTGTAATGGTTTGAAAACAAACCA